TTTGGCCACAAGGCAAGCATCAGCGTACCCGTGACTTCCGAGCTGCAGCAGCTTCTTTTGCCTTTTTCTTCTTTTCCTCGGCCACTGGGCACCAACTTGCCAAAACGCAGAGGGTGCCTCTACAGTATGATGCTTCAAGCTAGAATCAACTCTAGAATTCTCCAGTTAAACTTGAAAATCCTTGAAACTCATCGCAGCCGCAAGAAATCGCACTGTGAGTTCGGAAATCATCGGAATCAATGACTCCTGACAGCTAGTAGAGGACCCTCTGACACAAAGAATTCGGGTGCGGTGAACTAAGAATCTGCACGGGGAGACACTGATGGATCAGCAAGTTTGGGCACTTCAACCAAAGTACTACTGACTATTTGCCGCTAGAGAAGCACGTTGCCTTCTTCAAACTGCTGGTGCAAACAAGTTACTGCTTCTTCATCCACCTGATACATTAAGAGTAGAGGAACAAATGGGTACAGTACAAAAGCTCACAATGAATATGGACATCCAAGAGCAGAATGCTGATTCAACAAGCCCCAAATCCTCCCATATGCAGAGAGGATGCACATCAGTTTTTCGGTGCTCATGGTCCACCAATCAGGGCTTGTCCCACTAATTGGAATTCTGTGTCAGTGATCTTGGCTCCACTACCTTGTCACAACTTTTTGTGTGTGGCTGCAAATAGCCAACTTTATTTATATACATTTATATAAGATATTTCTGTGTGTGCGCATGTCGGGCACTCCGCATGAACGAAGTGTGCTTGGGCCTTGGAATGCTAACACAAGCAAAGTACCGTATTGCAAGTGAGGGTAGTGATGGGAACTAGTGTATCCTGTGCTGTTTTGTATTGTGTCTGTATACCAAATAGAAAAATAAAGTGGCTGTCAAAATGAGTCCTGCAGTCCGTGGCGCCTGAAAAGTGGCTTCTTGCTTGTTCGCTTTCTGCTGATCCTGAGCCAGGATGTCCAAAATCATTAAAATCAGAGTTCTTTTGTTCTTTTATTAATATGCACTTTATTGCACTTTGCACTTTTATCTGCGAATTTTGCCCTGGTTTTCGGAGTCGGCATTAGACGGCGGTGCCTGCCACACTATCCATGGTGCTCCCTTGTGTTTTTGAAGCTTGAAATGCGGCCAAGGGACAAAGACTTGCTTGCTGGCCTCTTCCTTTTGCTTGGCACGAATCTCATTTTGCTTCTTCTTAGCCTGAAACCAAAATAATGGAGAGCGGACCAAAAGACTGTCATCTTGCGTGACCAACTGTTACATTATGACCAAAACACCTGTCCTGAAGTGTGTTCAGCTGTTCTGACTTAGCCAGTGCCCACCTTGAGCTTCTCTAGGTTGTCGTAAACACGTCCAGCCAACTCCTGACTGTTCTACTTGAGTCCATTTTCACAACCCCCGTCTTGGTTGATTTCATCGGTGTCTGCCCTTGCAGTTGTGCAAATGATCCAGAACTGACCTGCTAAACATTCTTGAGCAAGCCAAGAGGGTCAAGAAACCTACATTTATATAATTTTATATACATGACAATTCTCGGCAGTCATCAACAAGTCCATCACTGTCAAAACAATCGCCCTGAAGTAGTTGACCACAGCGACTGCGACTGCTTGGGTAGTCAACAAAGGTGCAAAACTCGTTAGACCTTGCCAAGGGAAGTGTATTGTACTGTGCAGCCGTCCAAACATACCCGAACATACCCTGCCCAATGCCTCCAGCTTGGAGCCATCTAATAGGTCGGAGGCCATTGCTATTAGTCGTGGTCCATCATGTAGTGCTATCTAGTTGTCGCAGATCAAGAACCTCCTGTGTGCTCCTCGCCATTCAGCTCTCGTATCCAATCCTGCCACATCGGTCGGCTGCAAACAACACACATGCATATGTTGATATAGATTTTAGATCCAGCAAGTTGGTACAAACCACTTCAACATAGATCTGTGTTTAATGATTCCAACAATAATAACCTTCCGCTGGATTTTTTTGCGAACAAACACACATAAATTCCGTCGTAAAAAAAAACACAACACGTTCTTACGTTGTTTTTTTAACAATAAGTCCTGAATTCATTTTAGACAATGTAATAGCACGTTTCATTTATATAGTTTTGTAAACAAATAAACACATACATGTTTCATAAAGTTCGAGAAACTTATGAAAAACATATATGACAAAATATGACACATTGTATGGACGATTTTATGTTTGACATGGGCATTTTGTTTAATGATTTCACACATTTGGTTGTATTGGTTTTCATTCAAAAAACGCAATGAAATCATTGAAACAAGTTTCAATGATTTGGCCTCATACCAGACTTGTTAGGTCTCAAATATAGCTAATTATATATTGATAACTATGTGCATTTATGCTGCATGTACTGAGCTGGACCAATTAAGGCCCTAATAAGGTTCTGCTTCTCAAGACTAAGATTGGCCATGCCTGTCAGAGCAACTGCCATGCGGCTGTAAGTAGTCAATCGTGCCAACCAATCTTGACCCCAAAATCCCAGCAGGTACATCTGCTGGCAAAAGCTCCAGTGCCACGTGTTCAAAGTTGGCCATGCATCAAAACCGTCAGCTTTCGTATCAAAGCTTCATGTTTTCTCATCGTGGACATGAATCATAATGATTTTGCCCTCTATGAATCCTGATTTGTCATAATGATCTATATAAAGAATGTAAGAAAGTGAATCTTGGCATGTCAATTTATGTCAACCGTCTGCCAGCCTCTGGATTGTGATGCAACTCTTGCGATTTGACCTGCGGTAAGACCAACGAAGGGTGCAGTCGTCTCTTTAGAAGTCAATGCATGACGCATGACACAGGGAGGCCTAGCATGGTTGCTAGCTGCAGATTTGCCGTTTGCCACATGTGCCTTTTTGCAAAGACCAGGATACGGGTATGGCCACAATGTTGCCAAAGCAAGGCCTACCTATGTGCAAACGCTCTGAACGTCGGCGAGCACGAGAGCTAGAAGCTTAAACAGTGTTGCAAAGGAAAGGGCTGCACAAGATCCTTGATGAAGTAGTGTTCAAGCGATTGCACAGCTGGGAAATTCTGCAACTCCAATGCGCTAACACCCAATCTGTTGCCGGTATGTGGGGTAGGAAGGCTTGAATGGCTTGCGCAGCTCTCAAGTCATCAAGGAGCTCATGGTCGAGCCTTTCTTAAATTCAGGTATGACGCAGGAGGCAAAATTGGAAACATAAACGAGCCCCATGGCTCATGTCTGTCAAATCTGCCAGGCGAGCTCTGCCAAGAACAGCTGCAACACGCCCGTGCTTATAATCTAGCAAACACTTGTATTTCACCAAAGAATTGCAGCAGAGCCACTGCAGTGTTTTTGTGCGACCGCACAACTTGCGTCTGGTCCACACACACACTGCATTCAATGCAGATTTGTGGTCTTCGCCTCTGATTGCGGGTAGCAGGGCTGCTCAGGAAGACCCGAGCGGGTAAAGCCTACATTTGGGTGGTAAGGTATTATATATGGGTAAGCATGGAACAAGAAGCTACTAGGGGCTCCTGGCATCGCTACTAGGAGCAAGGACGCTACTAGGGGCTCCTGGCCGTACTACTAGGAACAAGAAGCTACTAGGCGCTCCTGGCCCATTGAGGTTATGCAGTGCTCCTGCCACTACCAGCGTCGCGGCCGTAGCACTGAGCTAGCTTTGGCCCCATGGATTGAGCGAGGGCAGCAGGATTGAGCTGAATTCATTCGGAATCTTGCCTAGCTGCATGATACATGTTGAATGTGCAATGCAATAGGCAAATGACAACTTCACTCTTGCAATCCAGCTGCCCTCCACATGGTTTAAAAATACTTTCTGGCATATGCAATGCACCGCACTCTGTGCAAGTGCCAACCAAGTATACATTGTGACTTCAACGTGTTAAGAGGCAGTAGCGGATTATAACGTTGCATAACTGTGGCTAGTGCAGTTGCATTGGAAGCAAGACCAATCTCATGCAAGGCACGGGGTATGGGCAATCGTTTAAATTCTAGGATTGCACCATGTGTGACACAGTGAGCCTTCAACCCATTTGCTCTCATGTTGCTATTGGGTTTGAAAGGGCCTATGGCGACAGTAGCCACATGAATCCACAAAATTCACAGGTCTCAACGTGTAATTTGTAATCAACTAGTTAGAAAAACCATGTCAAAGCACACAACAAGAAGATTGAACGTTGCCCGCACAAATGTTCCAGTTCATCCACTCAAAATACCTAGAACTACAACAACAGTTCTCATGAAGAGGGCGAAGCCATCACAAAGCATGGTTCAGTGGCAATTATAGTGTATCTCTGAGGCACTGATCTTGATCTATGGGCCCTCTTCAGGGTATATAAGTCCACAGGATCCGTCCCAAAATAGTGGCGTCGGAATTACAAGTTTCTAATAGTTTCTTGTTACTACTAGTAAGGCACTTGTTCCTACTAGCGTGGCACTTGTTTCTAATAGTTTTTTGTTACTACTAACTAAAAACAAAGGAGTATGCTTCCGGACCGGAAGTTAGAATGTCACTGGGGTCTGTCGGGCATGGTTCTTTTTTTGACCATTTCATAGGGGATTGCATTTGGGGGGCACTCTAACTGAAACCTGCATGTTTAAAGGGTGATTGAAAAATAATGCATTCTATCTTACAGTTCGTAAGTACAAGTAATCCACAGTGGAGGTAAGAAATCCGCCTGCCTCTAAGGCACCACATTACAATATGTTACAAGATGTTACAAGTGGTTGTCATGAAAGGCGTTGATGAGGCCTACAACAAACAGTCTTTGTCACTTCACTTCCAGCAGTTCACAAACGCAACCATGGTGATTTAAAATATTTAAAGAGACATGTTCATGATGTTTCAGTTCCCTTCGCTTGCTTTTAATTGCTCGTATTTCTCTTGTCACTGCGGCCTTACAGTCAAAAATCAGCCCCAAATGTGGTTGTCAAGATTGAAACAGTTGACGTGTCTTACTGTTACAACCGTTCAGGCCAAATGGGTGGGCTCACCCGGTTTCACACACTGTCAAGTCACTTCCAGACCTCCGTGGCCCTGCACAAACCACAAAAAGGAACAACTTTTCGCAGTTTCTTGACCACGAAAGATCTGATGTGCATTTCTTGACGCTACTGGGCACTCCTGGCATCGCTACTAGGAGCAGGAACGCTACTATAGGGGCTCCT